TCTCAAATGTTCGGGCTTCCGAAGCCCAAGACCGCCCACACAAGGCCCCAAGAGAGCTACGAGACGATTCAAGATGGCCCCAAGACGGCTCCATGACAATCTACAGACAGCCCAAGTAGGCCCAGAGAAGACCCGAGAGAATCCTAAGAAGGCCGCACAGCGCGTCCAGAGGTCCCCGAGACGGCCCAAATAGGCCCCCAATACGGTCCCCGAAAGCGCCAGACGCTCCCAAGGTGGTCCAAGAGAGCCTCAGGATGCCCTCCCAGGAGGCCCACACGGTCCGAAAAGAGCTCCAGGGAAGCCCCAGGGCGGCCGCAGAGGGCTCCTCCCCAGCGCTTCCTCAGTGGCTTCCCCAAGCGCTGTGGCAACACGCGGAAAACTTGAATGGCCGCACCTCCGCTCGACATTTCACCACCCAGGCGCTTCGCGCTTCGACGAGGCAGGGGGCGGCGGTGATTCGCCGCAGGCGCCTTCGATCCGCCGCCCCCTGTCGTCCACAGGTGTGCTTGGCGTGCCGAGATTCACACATACTTTGTGCTGTTTGTCTACATGCTCCCAAAGGTGTCCTGTGGCCTGTGGCCCGGACCGCAGGCCCGCCAGAAGCGGACGCAAAAAATCTGTCCCCGTCGGCTTTGCAACCCAAGGTGGCTCCACGGTGGCTCCATAAACCGTCGCAACCCAAAAAGCAAGCCAGTCCGCCTCCAATACGGCCAAGATGGCCCAAAATGACTTCCAAGACGGCTCAAAACGGTCGAAGATGGCACCTGAGAAGGACCAAGACGCATCCAGGACGGCCAACGTGGGTCCAAAAAGGCCCAAGGTGCCTCCGAGGCCTCCAAGAGGACCCCAAAAGGTGGCCAAGAGGCAAAAACAAATGATTTCCATGTGTTTAATGATCTCGGTTTTCTCGCCCTCGAGGGGTTCCGACAGCCGCAGACGGCCCATGAAGCTTCCAAGATGGCCCAAGAATGCTCACGAGGCCCCTACGGGAGCCCCAAAAGACGGCCTCCAAGATTGCCAACATGGCCTCATACAGTCTCCTAGATGGTCTAAGATGCCCTCCAAGACGACAATCAGAAAGCCCGAGGTGGCCCCAAGCCCCACGAGGCCCTCAAGAGGCCCCACAGAAGCCCCCAGGAGGCCCCGAGGAGGACCCCGAGAGGCCAGTTCCTCGTCCGTTTCCTCCTCCCTCTCCCGCTCCCTCCCTTTGCCTCCTCCCGATGTCTCGCCCCAAAGATTCTCCACCACGGCAGGAGGACCACACGGCCCAGTTGGCGATCGCCGGGCTTCGGCCCGGCGCCTGGCCGCACCGGCGTCTCCACGAAGGCCGGGGGGGGGGCAGCGGTGACTCGCCGCAGGCCCCTCCGATGATCAGGGGCCAGGAAGGGTCACCGCTCGCGGCCGCGGCCTGCTGCTCGTTCAGCCGGGCGCTCACCCCCGCCGCCTCTGGGGATGTCGAAAGGTACCGACCTCCTGGGGCGCGCTCTGACACAGAATCCCGGGGCGAACCCGAACGCGGCGACCAAGGCCGCCCGGGAGGAACGACGGTGCGAAAGCGAGGGATGGGTATCCTGACATCCGCCGACACGAATCTCCCCATCTGGGGCCCCAGAAATCCCGATCCCCAAGGGTTTGTTCTTCGCCACAAGGCCGTCCCCCACTGTCCCGGGACCCGAAAACGGCCCCCGAAGGACGAAATATCGAGGAACGCCCCGAACAGATCGTCGGGGATCTGGGCAGCGGCATCGGCGCCTCTCCCTCCCCTGAAGCTTCGCCCTGGCCAGACCTCTCCAGGGGTGCGTTTTGCAAACGATTACGAGGCGAATCCAGCCGCGACGACGAGGGCCTCCCGGGAGGCCCGACGAGGCGGAAACGAGAAGAGGGCAGGGGTGGCGGTACCCGTTTCTCCTCCCCAGCCTCGCCCTGGCCGGGCCGCTCGCCCTGCGCGCCCCCCGGCGACCGCGCGCAGCGCCGCACCTGTGGAGGCCTCCTGGCCCAGATGGGCCGGTAAGCCGCCAGCCCGACGGGCCCGAGGCCCCCAGGAGGCCCCCGGGAGGGCCGCAGGAGGTACCGCAAGCAAGTGCCAGCGATGCTACAATATGGACCAGCGGAATGAGCGAAGCGATCCGCCGCCCCACCGGGAACGGCGTGTGAGATCCCCGCCGCATGGTCCGCACGAACTCAGTCCCCTGAATCTGCGCGCGCACGAACTCCTCGTACCAATACCCACTCCTCAGAGCCCTTGCAACCCCTCCTGGGGTCCTCCCCGCGGCCTGCTCATTCCGCCGGCCCGGGGGCCACAGCTGCGGAATGAGCGCCCTTTGGCCATCATTCTCGCTGCAGAACACACCTCGTTGGAAACGTTCGTCTTCAAGGCGCCGCCGGCCTCTCTCAGAGGCCTCTCCGGAACTCACTGACTCGATTTTGGAGGCCTCCAGACGCTCTCCTGGGGCGATATTGGCCGTCCCCTAAGCCATTTTGGTCCAGTCTGGCAGCCCGCCCACCTCTCCTCGGCCCACTTCGACTACAAAAAACAACACGCAAAAAACCTCGTAAAACACATATGATTATGTCCATTCTGGCCTTGTCGAGCCTCTATTCTTGCCTCGTTTCGAGCTCACGTGCGTCTTCGCGGGCTCTTGGAAGCACGTTGGAATCAGCGGGCGCTCCCTGCGGCTGTCCTCCACGCCTCCCGACCCCGGCCTGGGCCGTCTGGCAGCATTTGTGGGGTTTTCTTGGGTCGCCCTGGGCGCGCCCAGGGGGTCCCCGGAGTCCCTTTTGAGGCCCCAAAACTAACTCGGATCTCGTTTGTACGCCTCTCCGTATGCCTCTTCCTTTCGTCCACACTTTTGCACACCCTCAGGCGTCCTTTTTGTTAATCATTTTCAGACGCTTTCTGGCGTCTTTTAAAATCATGTTCCAGCTCTCTTGGGGCTTTCTGAGCCTTTAAGGCCCCACCCACTTTCGTGTTTTTCCAGGCCCTCTGAGACCTTGTTGTCCAATCTGGTGTCTTTTTTCAGTCATTTTCCGGCTCTCTTGGGGCTTTCTGAAAGTCTTTAAGACCCCACTTAACAAAATCCCAGCCAAAGCTGAGTGAACCATCCCGCTACATCCCGATTTGCCCCCCACGCAACCTCCGCGTTCCAAAAAGAAAGTGGGGCGGCGGTGTCTGCCCCCTCAGGGGCGTTCAATTGAATAAACCCCCTTCTACAGTGGAAATGAAATCGTTGCTGCGCGGGCTTACGGGCGGATTGGGACCGAAACAATACTGGGAAAAGAATTCGTCCCCCGCGGCGGCCACTGCTGGGGTTCCGATGGTATCATATAGGTCCCAGGAGTCACTCAGGATCCCCATGGACACGTGGGATTCCTAAGGATTCATAGGGATTCCTGAAGGTTTTCAGGATTCCCTTAGGATTCCTAAGGACCGCTAAGGATTCGTAGGACTCCTCAGGAGGAGGGCGAGGAGGGGAAGGACGAGGAGAGGGAGGACGAGGGGGAGGACGCAGAGGAAGCACGAGGAGGAGGGCGAGGAGGGAGAGCGATGAGGGCGAGGAGAGGAGGGACGAGGAGAGGGGGGACGAGTTTGATTGCCAGCCGGGAGATTTGGGGGGAAGGGCTGCAGCATTGAAGACTTATCGCGGTCAGATAAAGTCCGAAAAAATGGGACCTTATCTGACCGCGATGCATCGGCGATGCGGCTCGATGTGGGGCCGATTCTCTTTACGCCGAAAGCGCCGAGCATCAGCGATGTGTCGGCGATGTACCAGCGATGCATCGGCGATGCATCGGCGACGTCGGTGATGCATAGGAGCCGTCGCAGTGGAGAAAATGGGGCTCCACAGCGAGCCGCATCGCCGATGATCGGCGATGCGCCGCGATGCTCCGACCCCATATACTCGGACCCCGTCTGGAAGGCCTAGAGCAGGGTGGGCGCGGTGCTCGGCGGCTCAAAACATGGGGCCGGGAGAGAGGGCCCAGATCTCCGGCGGTCTGGTGTGCTCCCTGTTTCCATCCGTGCGTGTTCCCCCGATCTCGGTTCCCGGGCCCATCTGGAGTGGATCTGGGGCGAGAAGCTGCCAGGGAAGCGGTCGGAACCTCTGGGGCCGCGGACTGAGCAAAGCAGGTCGGCGGATGCCAAGGAGGGGGGCCCAAGGGCAGGAAAGGGATCCTGGGCTGAGCTTGCACTGCTTGGAGCCGCTCGTCCTCAGGGCCCCGTCCCTCGGGGCCCAGAGACGTGGAGGGGCGGGGGACTGACGAGGACACGCGCGGGGAGGCTACCCCCGATGCGGGATGATCCGCCCCTTTCTAGTCGGACCCTCTTGGGAAGGCCTGGAACCTGGCGGAACCAGCGGAGCTCTGGGCCGTCCGCGCAGGGCGCCAGCGGGGGCGGCTGCTGCAGGGCGCGCCGCGCGCAGGCGGCGCTGGCTACCTGTGGCGCTGCGCCGCCGCCGCCCTGCGGGCCCAAGGGGGGAGGAGGAGGAGGAGGAGGAGGAGGAGGAGGAGGAGGAGGAGGAGGAGGAGGAGGAGGAGGAGGAGGGGAGGAGGAGGAGGAGGAGGAGGAGGAGGAGGAGGAGGGAGGAGGAGGAGGAGGAGGAGGAGGAGGAGGAGGAGGAGGAGGAGGAGGAGGAGGAGGAGGAGGAGGAGGAGGAGGAGGAGGAGGAGAGGAGGGGAGGAGGAGGAGGAGGAGGAGGAGGAGGAGGAGGAGGAGGAGGAGAGGAGGAGGAGGAGGAGGAGGAGGAGGAGGAGGAGGAGGAGGAGGAGGAGGAGGAGGAGGAGGAGGAGGAGGAGGAGGAGGAGGAGAGGAGGAGGAGGAGGAGGAGGAGGAGGAGGAGGAGGAGGAGGAGGAGGAGGAGGAGGAGGAGGAGAGGAGGAGGAGGAGGAGGAGGAGGAGGAGGAGGAGGAGGAGGAGGGAGGAGGAGGAGCAGGAGGAAGAAGAGGAGGAAGAAGAGGAAGAGGAGGAAGAAGAGGAGGAGGAGAAAGGGGAAAGGGAGCCGGCCCGCGGAGCGGCGCCCGCGACCCGCGGCTCCGCATCCTGCGGTTCCGCAGCCCCGCCGCGGCGGGCGCCAGGCGGCGAGTGCGCGCAGGCGCCCGCCAGCTGCGCCAGCTCGGCCTCGCGGTCGGCATCCTCAGAAGAAGAAGCGGCATGAGCACAAACTTTCGACGGTCCGCGAGGATTCCTCGGACCCGCGCTGGACCCCCCCCTGACCGCGCCGCCCCTGGCGCGCGGAGCGCGCCAGTGAGGGGGGTCCAGCGCGGGCCCGAGAAATCCTCGCGGACCGTCGAAAGCTTGTGTTTATGCCGTGTTTCCTTCTTCGAATCCTCCTCCAAGGCCCTCTCGTCCTCAAGCATCCTGTCGAGGTAGGCGTCCTCGTCCGCCGCAGCCCCACCGAGGCGGGGGGCGCCAGGCGGGTCCACGTAGGCACCCTCCCGGTCGGCATCCTCCTCCATGGCCCTCTCGTCCTCCAGCATCCTGTCGAGGTAAGCGTCCTCGTCCGCCGCATCGCCGCCGTGGCGGGTGCCAGACACTGGGTCCACGTGGGCACCCGCCAGCTGCGCTTCCCGGTCGGCATCCTCCTCCATTGCCCTCTCGTCCTCCAGCATCCTGTCGAGGTAGGCGTCCTCGTCCGCGGCCGCCTCCGAGTAGGCGCCGTGCCCCTCGAGCACCCTGAGGTGATTCTCGACGGTCTCGTAGACAGCCCCGTCATCCAGCAGTCGCGACACGGCCGCCTCGGCCTCCGTGGGCAGCAGCCCCAGCTCCTCATTGGCCTGCTCATGGCGGTCAGACTTCTGGGGTCTGAGTCAGCGAAGGGCAATCTCAGACGGAAAAACAACAACACAACTATATTAAACTACAAAACACCAAAGACAACAACAAGCACAAAGCACGATAGACAACCAACACACACATAACAAAAACAACAACAACAACAACAACAACAACAACAACAACAACAACAACAACAACAACAACAACAACAACAACAACAACAACAACAACAACAACAACAACAACAACAACAATTACTAGCACGTGGGGACACTCCGTTCTCACCAGTGCCAGGGTTTTCATAGACGCCCGCCAATACCCCCACTTTGTGGGGGGGCCGGTTCAAGCTCTACCACATTTCCAAACGACTCTTCGCCACCACCCACACCCAGCTTCCCGCCCTATGACGTTCGGACACTTCACTTCGTGGCCTGCGGACGACCGTGGCTACTACACTGGCGCATGGGTACAGTGACTTGTTGTGGTAACATTTTGGTGTTCGTACAGATGTTTTTCGAGAACCTACGGTGCGATTCGTATGATTTTATTTGCGCGGTGCTAAAATTCCTAAGAAACCCAATGGTTTTTGAAGATTTCGGCGTGCGCGCGCGAAGAAAAAACGAATGTGTCCCGCATGGTATTATTTGACAGGGATGATGGCCCTGGCAGGTGCGCAACCGTTGTTGGAGAAGTTCGAAGCACGTGAAAAAGTTGCTCGCAAAAGCCCGTTTGACAGAAATGTTTAAAAAGTGTTGGGTTTCCTACAAATCCGCAAGAGCGCGCGGGATGAAATGTTGACACTTTTTTTTTGAAAAACCATTGGTTTTTTGATGTTTTTATGTTAAAATCGCTACGAACACTAAGGTTTTGGAAGGATTTCGTCTTGCGCGCGCGAATGTCCACTTTACCTTATTTTTTGCAAGGGATTCTTGAAGTTTGGTTATGTTAGAACAAGAAATGTCCACTTTGCCTTATTTTTTGCAAGGGAAAACCGCCCGTAACAAAACAACCGGATCCGGACCAACCCGTTTTGCCAGAGACTTCCTCACGAAAATGATGAAAACATGGCTGCGGCCTAGGCGCGGCGAGGGGGCCGTGCACCAGGGGCCCCAGCAATAATTATTCTTTAGAAGTCATAATGTTCAACAACAACAACAACAACAACAACAACAACAACAACAACAACAACAACAACAACAACAACAACAACAACAACAACAACCACAACCACAACCACAACCACAACCACAACCACAACAACAACAACAACAACAACAGCAACAACAACAACAGCAGCAACAACAACAATCATGTTAAGACTGTTCGCCCTTATCTGCTCGAGTGTCCAATAGCGCGAATTTCCCAAACCCTCGATACCCGCCCTTTTCGTCTTCGATCGAACCCCTTTGGGGGGGTATACCTTTCTTCCCTGCAGGCCGGGCCCCGGCAAACGGCGGGGCGGCCGCGGACCGTCGGCCTGGCCAGCGGCAGCGCTGATCGGCGGGGCGGCCGCGGACCGTCTACCCGACCCCAAGAGGGACGGACAGGGGACCGACCACGACGACGACGACGACGACGACGACGTCGACGACGACGACGACGACGACGACGACGACGACGACGACGACATCGACGACGACGGCAACGACGGCGACGGCGACGACAACGACGAGCGAAAGCGAGAGCGAGAGAGAACGACAGCAGAGCCACGAAGGACACGAAGTAGGCCACGAAGGGCGACAGCGGGGGCTAGAAGGGAATGCGTATGGGGCCACGAAGAGCGCGAACGAGCGTGGGCCACGAAGGGCAGATAATGCGGGGCCACAGAAGGCAACGATGGGGCGGGCCACTGAGGGTAGCACCTGGGCCACGCAGGACAATGAGGGGGCCACAAACGGCGACAGCGGGGCCACGAAGGGCATGCACATGGGGCCACAACGGGCGCGAACGAGCGGGGGCCACGAAGGGCATACGTATGTTAGGCCGCGGAGGGCACGGACGGGGCCACTGAGGGCAGCAACGGGGACACGAAGGGCAGCGAGGGGGCCACGAAGGGCGACAGCGGGGCCACGAAGGGCATGCATATGGGGCCACCACGGGCGCGAACGAGCGGGGGCCACGAAGGGCATACATACATGGGGCCACGAAACAAAGCGAGGGGGCCACGAAGAGCTGCAACGGGGCCACGAAGGGCAGCGAGGGGGCCACGAAACTGCGAGGGGGCCACGAAGGGCTGCAACGGGGCCACGAAGGGCAGCGAAGGGGCCACGAAGGGCTGCAACGGGGACACGAAACAAAGCGAGGGGGCCACGAAGGGCTGCAACGGGGCCACGAAGGGCAGCGAGGAGGCCACGAGGGGCTGCAACGGGGCCACGAAACAAAGCGAGGGGGCCACGAAGGGCTGCAACGGGGCCACGAAACAAAGCGAGGGGGCCACGAAGGGCTGCAACGGGGCCACGAAGGGCAGCGAGATCCCGATTCCTATGTAATCTGTGAAGGAGTCCTAAGCGTGAGCGCGACTCCTGGGTGCCTGGGTGTCGGGAGCGCGGCGCTGGAGCAAATTGCAAGAAATTCCAACGCAAGGGCGCTATTCTTCAGTAAATGGCAAGCAAGCCTCCAGTGAGAGCGCGACTCCAGAGCGCAGGAGGAGCGATTCCTGAATAAATCGTAAGGAAGTCCCAAGCGAGAACGCGATTCTTGAATAAAATGCGAGGAAGTCTCGGGTGGGAGCGGGGGTCCTAGCTAAATTGTGAGGAACTCTCAGGCGGGAGCCGTTGTTGTTGTAACCCGGGGGCCAGGGGGCCAGTTTGAGCAGGAAGACTTTCCTTGACAAAAAACAAGGTGCGAGCCCCGGGGAGGCACTTAAATGAAAAAACAATGTGCACCGGTGGGGAGGGATCAACAACAATTATTATGTAAGAATGGGAGTTCAACAACCACAACAACAACAACAACAACAACAACAGCAGCAGCAGCAGCAGCAGCAACAACAACAACAACAACAATCATTTAAGACTGGGGACACTCCGTTCTCACCAGTGCCAGGGTTTTCATAGGAGGCGGGCAATACCCCCACTTTGTGGGGGGGCCGGTTCAAGCTCTACCAAATTTCCAAACGACTCTTCGCCACCACCCACACCCAGCTTCCCGCCCTATGACGTTCGGACACTTCACTTCGTGGCATGCGGACGACCGTGGCTACTATTCAGGGCCCCGCGGCCGACGACGACGGCGTGCGCGCGCGAAGAAAAAACGAATGTGTCCCGCATGGTATTATTTGACAGGGATGATGGCCCTGGCAGGTGCGCAACCGTTGTCGCAGAAGTTCGAAAAAGTTGCTCGCAAAAGCCCGTTTGACAGAAATGTTTAAAAAGTGTTGGGTTTCCTACGAATCCGCAAGAGCGCGCGGGATGAGATTTTGACAATTTTTTGTTGAAAAACCATTGGTTTTTTGATGTTTTTATGTTAAAATCGCTGCGAACACTAAGGTTTTGGAAGGATTTCGTCTTGCGCGCGCGAATGTCCACTTTACCTTATTTTTTGCAAGGGATTCTTGAAATTTGATTATATTAGAACAAGAAATGTCATTTTATAGTGTTTTTTGCAAGGGAAAACGGATTACAACAAAACAACCGGATCTGGATCACATCGTTTTACCTGAGGCTTCCTCACGAAAATGATGAAAATGTAGCTGCGGCCTAGGCGGCGCAGGGGGGGCGTGCACCAGGGGGCCCAACAATAATTATTCTTTAGAATAATAATGTTCAACAATTACTAGCACGTGGGGACACTCCGTTCTCACCAGTGCCAGGGTTTTCATAGGAGGCGGGCAATACCCCCACTTTGTGGGGGGGCCGGTTCAAGCTCTACCAAATTTCCAAACGACTCTTCGCCACCACCCACACCCAGCTTCCCGCCCTATGACGTTCGGACACTTCACTTCGTGGCATGCGGACGACCGTGGCTACTATTCAGGGCCCCGCGGCCGACGACGACGGCGTGCGCGCGCGAAGAAAAAACGAATGTGTCCCGCATGGTATTATTTGACAGGGATGATGGCCCTGGCAGGTGCGCAACCGTTGTTGCAGAAGTTCGAAAAAGTTGCTCGCAAAAGCCCGTTTGACAGAAATGTTTAAAAAGTGTTGGGTTTCCTACGAATCCGCAAGAGCGCGCGGGATGAAATTTCGACAATTTTTTTTTGAAAAACCATTGGTTTTTTGATGTTTTTATGTTAAAATCGCTACGAAAACTAAGGTTTTGGAAGGATTTCGTCTTGCGCGCGCGAATGTCCACTTTACCTTATTTTTTGCAAGGGATTCTTGAAATTTGATTATATTAGAACAAGAAATGTCATTTTATAGTGTTTTTTGCAAGGGAAAGCGGGGGGGAACAAAACAACCGGATCTGGATCACATCGTTTTACCTGAGGCTTCCTCACGAAAATGATGAAAATGTGGCTGCGGCCTAGGCGCGGCGGGGGGGGCGCGCACCAGGGGCCCCAACAATAATTATTCTTAAGAAGAAATAATGTTTCATTTTAAAACTGTTCGCCCTTATCTGCTCGAGTGTCCAATAACGCGAATTTCCCAAACCCTCGATACCCGCCCTTTTCGTCTTCGATCGAACCCCTTTTGGAGGGTATACCTTTCTTCCCTGCAGGCCGGGCCCCGGCAAGCGGCGGGGCGGCCGCGGACCGTCGGCCTGGCCAGCGGCAGCGCTGATCGGCGGGGCGGCCGCGGACCGTCGACCCGACCCCAAGAGGGACGGACAGGGGACCGACCACGACGACGACGACGACGACGACGACGACGTCGACGACGACGACGACGGCGACGACGACGACGGCGACGGCGACGGCGAGCGAAAGCGAGAGCGAGAGAGAACGACAGCAGAGCCACGAAGGACACGAAGTAGGCCACGAAGGGCGACAACGGGGACACGAAGGGAATGCGTATGGGGCCACGAAGAGCGCGAACGAGCGGGGGCCACG